ATGGGTGAGGAGGGGTGGAGGGGAAGTAAGCCCAGGGTTAAATTTGACCATGGCCCGGGGCACGGCGTTCTTCAACCAACCGGGGTGGCCAGATGCGCCAATGCCCCTGGTTGGCCAAGAAATGGTTTAGTTTGTCCCTCAGTGCGCCACCAAAATGCTTCTTGTGCAGTATTGGGGCTGGCAATGGCGCCCGCAGCGCATTCTTTAGCAAAGTATTGCTTTTATTTTTTTGTTAGTAAATTTGACTAGCGGTGCTGACTTGTAAAATACTTCAAGTGTATGGAGCTAAATGATATTCATCTTTCAGCTGCGAACTGTAATATTGGATTCAGTTCCACGGGATTGAACCGATTTATGTGGCCTATTTTTTACATTTTGGGATATTGCTTTAAACGGTGTGGCATATTTTTCTTTAGAAGATATGGAGTGTTTTGCGCTTGCAAATGGGTATGAAAATAGCAAATTTCAAAAATGGAATGGACTCTGTTAAATGTTATTTGTTATTCAAACTTTCTTGTATGAAGAATGTCTAGGGTGGCTTTATTTTTTTCTGAGAGGGGCCACCATGTTTATGTGGCCCAAGTAATGCGATTTTGATTCCCATTGTGATTCATTATAAAGACTCAAGGAGGTCTGAGAAAGGAAGTGAGCGCTATCCCTGGTGAGGATTATATAACTAGGACTACATATACTCTGTGCATCACTAGGTGACCAAGTCATTTTCTGCTCTTTCTTTTTCTATTTCAATGCGATTACCTTCGGGCGTTGCGAGAAATTTTCTCAGGACTTTTATTTCTTTATCGTTAAAATTTAAGTATCGATTCTTTAAGGTTAGCCTTTTGGATTTAGTTTTATTTTAAAATTTGACTAGTTGTTATTATTTTAAATTGTCCTCTCCCTTAAAAGGGATGGAAAAGTATACTAACACACTGTATTTTTTGTTAGAGGTATAGCTCTTTTTTTATCAACCATCTTACTTCTATTGCTTTTCTTTATTTATGTTTAAAATGCTGCTTGAATAAAATTAAGTTATCGTTTTGCTTAGGGATCCAGTTGGCTTTTTAACAAAAAAATGAGGCCGCTGAGATGGGCTAATTGATTTAATTTGGATTTTCCAACGATTTTACTGATGATGCCTTCTTACCTTTTACAGAATATATGTCCCATTATTCCCTTTAATTTCAATGCCTTGCTTTGATATATAAATCTGTTATATAGATTTTTTTAGGCTAAATATTTCGCAATCCTTTAACACATCGCAACTACAGCAACCTACAAAAAAAAATCATTCTTACAAAGCAAAAAAGTTACTCCTTTATAAAGTAAATCATGGTCGTCATTTCAGGTGCAGGCTTCGCTACTATCGATTACTTATATACAAATGTTGACTTTAGCAGTGAGGCTTTTAAAAGGGGTATGTCAAAGAGAAGAGGGGATGGTGGCCTTAACCCGGGGCATTTGTCATTT